TGTATGTGTATGTGTATGTGTATGTGTATGTGTATGTGTATGTGTATGTGTATGTATATGTATAAGTATGAGTATGAGTATGTGTATGTGTATATGCATGTGTATGTGTATGTATACGTGTACGAGTGCGTATGCGTGTACGTGTACGTCTCTCTTACGTACAAATCTATACACACCAAACAGAGAAACACGTGCACATACATACCGTTCAGCACCTTCTCCTTGTGATCAGGCTTCATGCGTGCATATACATAGATGCAGTGCAGATGCTCCCAAATGCCGCCAGAAGTAGGGTCATCCCCCCCAGCCCTCATCAGCGTACTACCGGTCACACACAGATCATGTTCTAAAAATAGCGCGGGGATTTCATTGGCTGAGAACTTGGCTACCACCGAATCGTCCGCAAAGCTCTGCCAGACGAGTTCACTAGATCCCGATTTCTTATCCTAAAGGGGATAGGGTATTAGGGTTTTAAAGTCTCCGTTTTAGGGTTTTAGGGTTTATGGTTTAGGGTTTAGGAAAAGGAAAACAGGTACGAGCATAGTCCCATGGTTTGCAAATTTGCGACAGGAAAAGGAATGAGGAAGCAGTCGACTGTGACCGTTTCAGATTAAATATCAACGGGTTTAGACCTGTGGTGCTATAGGGAAACACATATGTTTGAAGGTTTGATTTATCTACACGTGTCACACACGCACACACTCACACACACACACACACAATTACACACACACACACATTCATACACACACAAACACACACACGCACACGCACACACACACGCACACACACACACACACACACACACACACGTATTTAGTAGATACTCGGATGTCAGGATATAACAAGCGCGCTTCTGCAAAATAACCATAGGCTGCACCCTGTGGCAGGTCTATTCAACACAGCTGCATGGTAAATACAAACCACCAGAGAACATCCGTGAACTCGGATGTGCTCTCGATCACCCCACAGGTAAGGAATAGGTCAGGACAAAATCAGGACAAATGCCGAAATACTGCATTTAAGCACTGAACAAACGCACCTCTATCTCCGCCAGGATCAGGATTTTGGACTTGTCCTTGCGCAGTATATTGGTCTCAGTGCCCACGTGCGCAGCTGTGAGAATGGCGTCACCCGTGATCATAATCACTCTGTGGGGGGGGAATGGAGTATACCAAGGGAATGAAGGTAAACACAGGGGTGAGAGGAGGGTAACAAGTCAAATACAAGCACACAATCACAATCACTCTGTGGAGGGGGGATGGAGTATACCAGGCGAATGAAGGTACACACATGGGTGAGAGGAGGGTAATAAGTCAAATACAAGCACACAATCACAATCACTCTGTGGGGGGGGGGGAAGTAATACACTAGGCGAATGAAGGTACACACATGGGTGAGAGGAGGGTAATAAGTCAGATACAAGCACACAATCATAATCACTCTGTGGGAGGGGGATGGAGTATACCAGGCGAATGAAGATCCACACATGGGTGAGAGGAGGGTAATACGTCTAACACAAGCACACCCAGGCATAACATAACCATGTGCAGGCACACATGATACAACTGGGAGTGGTGTAGTTCATAGACACTGCACAAAACCGTACCCACACACACACATGAAACCTATGTAAACTGAGCAAAAATCGGGCACACGAGGAATGAAAGGGTAGACAGGCGCTCGGCAAAGGCAAAAAAATAAAAGTAAAGCCGAAATATTGCGACCCGAATTTATCTTTTCGGACAGATTGTAATGTGTACAAAAAACGAGTCAACACACCACAGATGCAATCCAATTAATTCCTAGGTATATATCGTGTGTGTGGTCGACTGCTTATAAAGATATGTGTAACATCAGCATCCCACATACACATACATCCACACATACGCATCTCCCCAACAATATTGAACTCTTTATGGATATATATGGAACAAAAGCATCCCACATATACATGCACACAAACACACATCTCCCCAATAACTATAGAACTGTATATCGATATATATGTAACATACAACTATCCCACATATACATACAACACACAAACACATCTCCCCAGCAATTATAGAACTGTATATGGATATATATGTAACATACAACCATCGCACATATACATACATGCACACATACACACATCTCCCTCATAACTATAGAACTGTATACGGATATAAATACAACATACAACCATCGCACATATACATACATACACACATACACACATCTCCTCAATGACTAGAACTGTATATGGATATAAATGTAACATACAACCATCGCACATATACATACATACACACATACACACGTCTCCCCAATAACTATAGAACTGTATATGGATATATATGTAACATACAATCATCCCACATATACATACGTGCACACATACACACATCTCCCCAATAACTATAGAACTGTATATGGATATATATGCAACATACAACCATCCCACATATACATACATACACACATACACACATCTCCCGCATAACTATAGTCAGACCAAATCCTGCGACGGCACAGTACAGGCGAGAGACGACTACCTACCGGTGATTGGACTGTTTTAGTTCGGTGATGATCTGGATAGAATCCGCTCGGTTGCGACAGTTGAATGCTACAAATCCTGAAAACGTCAGCCCTTGTTCGGCTTCGGCCCGATTCTTGGTACAATTCTTCTTTGCATTTGCAGTAGATACCTGGGGTACATACACGTCGAATTTAGGTGAGCAATTGGGGATTTTTGCACCAAAAAAGTGGGATTGGGACCATTCCTCTACCAATGTTGTCGGAATATGCTTAAGACCAATGTCATTGGGTGACAAAAGACACTGAAACATGCATTTATATAAACATACAACTAGCAATACAT